GACGCGGCCGAGAAGAAAGCAGAGCGTCCACCAACACCACGAGCTACGAGATCCTCAAGCTGACGCCCTACACGCTCTACTCCATCTACGTGCGCCACCTTCGTCATTCTACCAGAGAGCAGCAGAACCACCTCATCGGAGAGCCGTCGGCCACGCTAGTCGTGCGCACCATGGCCAGCCGTGAGTCCGGGGTGGTGCTGGCTGTGGCTTGGCGTGTTAGGCTGGGGAGGTGGCGCGTGTGGCTGGGGGTGGGTAAGCAACCTCACTCATAATAGTATCTCTAGCTTAATGCCTGCGTGGGCCGTGGGTGGGGGTGGGGGGTGTGCGCTGGGACGCGGGATTTGTGTGTGTGTGTGTTTGTTGTGTGTTTTAGTCTGGTTATTGTTGTTTTCTTTTTTTTTTTGTGTGTGTGGAGGGGGTCTTTTTGTTCTCCCTCTTATTTGTTCTTGTTCCTTTTTCTTTCTTTTTTTTCTTATTCTTTGTCTTTTTTCTGCTGATTCGTATTTTCCTTCTAGTTCCTATTTTTCTTCTAGTTCTTCTTTTCTTTTTTTCCTTCATTTATTCTTTCCTTTCACTTCTTTATCTTCTCATCCTGCTTCTAGTTATTATTTTTCATTTTTTTCCCTTCTCCTTCTTCTTTATCTTCTCTTTCTTCTACCTTTTTTATTGGGGGGTGGGTTGATTATGATTTTTGTAGCGTAATTTTGTTATAACGATTTGGTATTCTCGCTCTCTCTCTCTCTCTCTCTCTCTCTTCTCTCTCTCTCTCTCTCTCTCTCTCTCTCTCTCTCTCTCTCTCTCTCTCTCTCTCTCTCTCTCTCTCTCTCTCTCTCTCTCTCTCTCTCTCTCTCTCTCTCTCTCTTCTCTCTCTCTCTTCTCTCTCTCTCTCTCTCTCTCTCCTCTCTCTCTCTCCCTCCCTCTCCTCTCCCTCTCCTCCTCTCTCTCTCTCTCTCCTCTCTTCTCTCTCTCTCTCTCTCTCTCTCTCTCTCTCTCTCTCTCTCTCTCTCTCCTCTCTCTCTCTCTCTCTCTCTCTCTCTTCTTCTCTTTCTCTCTCCTCTCTCTCTCCCTCCTCCCTCCCTCCCTCTACCGCCTTCCCTCCCTCTCCCTCCCTTTCTCTTACGCTTTTTAAATTCCACTTGACGTTCCCCTCTCTGCTCTCACAACCACTCTCACATTCCCCTCTCTCCTCCCACGCGCAATTCCCTCCTCTCACCCTCACCGTTTCCCCTCGCTTCTCTCTCCTCTCTTTCTTACTTATTTTCATCTTCTATTTCCTCTCTAACTTCTCTCTCCTCCCCCTCCGCTTCCTCTCCTCTCTTCTCTTCTCTTTGTTTCTCTTTCTCTCCTCACACCCTCGTTCACCCACTCTCTTCCCCACTCAATCCCCCTCTCGCCCCATTCACCGATTCCCCCCTCCATCTCTCCCCTCTCATCCCTCTCCCAACCCCACGCTCTCCCCTCTCACCCCCACCCCTCTCTCTCTCATCCTCACCCTCACTCACCCCTCTCATGCTAACAGATAATATAAGAGACATTAACAGCTTCAGTAATTCCAAAAATGAAATAAAAGATCACCTTCTTTCTTCTCTCTCTCTCTCTCTCTCTCTCTCTCTCTCTCTCTCCTCTCTCTCTCTCTCTCTCTCTCTCTCTCTCTCTCTCTCCTCTCTCTCTCTCTCTCTCTCTCTCTCTCTCTCTCTCCCTCCCTCTCTCTCTCTCCCTCTCTCTGAATATAAATGTATTTATGTAAAAAAAAACCATTGCAATTGATAGAACAAAGCGTTTCGCCTCCCCCCCCCCCCACCAGGCCCTCCAGCACCCGGACATCAAGCTGGACCCGCTCTCGCCGACGAAGCTGAGGGTGACGTGGGCGCCGCTGAGCCTGGAGGAGGCGCGGGGGGCGGTGGTCAAGCAGAAGATCCAGTGGCGGAGGTGGAGGATGCACTTCTTCGAGAACGCGGAGCTGTCCGAGGACGACGTCGAGTTCGAGATTCGAGGTACGGAGGGTGGGGGGGAGGGGGGGAGGGGGTTGGGGGGAGGGTGAAGGGAGTGGTGGGGTAGGGGGGAGGGAGGGATTGGTGGGGGAGGGAGGAGGGAGAAGGGGAGGGAGGATTGGTGAGAGAGGGGGAGAGGGGAGGGTTAAGGAGGAGTTGGGAAGGAAGGAAGTGGTTTGGGTTGGGGGAGGGGAGGGGTTGGTGGTGGGGGGGGGGAGACGAAAGGGTTTGAAGAGGTGTGGGAGTGGTGGGGAGGGTTGGGTTGGGTGGTATTGGTTTGGTGGGTTTGATGTATGATGTTTATCACATAGAGTTCTTGTCCAGTTTTTATCTAATATCTTTCTTCTCTCCCTCCTCTACCCATTTTCTCTCTCCCCCTTCCCTTTTATCCTCTCTCCCTCCCTTCCTTCCACTCCTCCTCCCTCTCCCTCTCCTCCCTTCATCCATGCCCCTCCCTACCTCCCTCCCTTTCCTTCCTCCACCCCTCTCCCTCCCCTATATCCACGCCCCCTCCTTCTCCTCTCCTCTCTTCATCCACCCTCTCCCTACCTCCTCCCTCCTTCCCTCTCCTCCCCTTCCCCTCCCTCCACCACTCCCTCCTTCCTCCACCACTCCCCCTTCCCCTCCTTCCCCTCCCCCCCCTTCCCCCCCCCAGACCTCCGGCCCAACAAGCGGTACGAGGTGCGCGTGCTCGTGGCCACGGAGTCGGGCTACCCGGAGCACGAGTCCAACCTGCCCTGGAAGCACATCCGCATGCCCTCGGACGCCGCCCTCAGCACGGCGCCCGTCGTGCACCTCAGCGTCGACAGCGAGGCGCCCGACAGCATCCAGGTGAGGCTCGCCCAAGGGTTTTTTTTTTTTTTTTTTTTTTTTTTTTTTCGTTTGTTTTTTTTTTTTTTTTTTTTTGGGGGGGGGGTCGCGGAGAGAAGATAGATAGGGAAAGGGAGGCAGAAAGGGAAGGGGCATATAAGAGAGGTAAAGACATGAAATGAAAATAACCACAATGAAATTAAAAATATCGTATCGTTTCGAACTCTTCGCGGGGTAACAAAACAAGTAACAAAAATTAAAATCTACTTTATATTAAAAGTAATCGACATGCGTGTTTCTTTTTCATATTCACACAAAGGTGTATTCCCTGCGCATGTCTGGCTGGAGGTCCGAGTGCGTTTTGGCTCCTGCATGACTCCATGACTCACCTCATCTCCTCATCTCCTCATCTCTTCATCTCTTCATCTCCTCATCCCCTATGCATAGGAGTCGTCATCGGAAGAGCCTCCTTTATCGCTCCATTTGCTTTCAGTCAACTTATCGAAAGCGTCTCGTCACGCGCGAGAAGCATCCCCCTGGCGGAGGAGCAGCCGAAGCCGAAGCTCAAGTTGGAGCTGGATGGAAGCGACGGTTGAAGCCGGGGCTGGGACGGGCGCTCCGTCACCGCGGTTGACGGCTTGCTGTCTGAGCGAGGGACAGGGGGTGGCGAGGGAGGAGGAGGAGGAGGAGAGAGAGAGAACGGGGAGGTGGGGGGGGGAGAAGGTAGGGAGGGAGGGGAAGAAGGGGAAATAAGAGTAGTAAGAGAAAAGGCGAAGAATAGGACGGAGAGAGAGAGAGAGAGAGAGAGAGAGAGAGAGAGAGGGGGGGGCGAGGGATAGATAGAGAGATAGACAGATAGATATAGAGAGAGGAGACAGAAGGGGAGGGAAGGAGGAAAGTAAAGAGAGGGGAGCATAGAGGCAATAATACACCCAGGCAGAGAGAGACAGAAGGGGAAAGCGAAGAGAGAGGGGGGGAGGAGGGAGGGTATGAGAGGAGTGGGGGGGGTGATGGGGGAGATGGGATTATGCTTTGTAACATTGCAACAGAAACGTAAATATTATTCTTTGACTCGGCATTTTAATAAGTAATGCATATTTTGCTACATTTGAATTGTATATTTTATAAGTGAGTACGATGTTCCATGAAAATATAATGAGACAAAGAATACACACACACACACACACACACACACACACACACACACACACACACACACACACACACACACACACACACACACACACACACACACACACCACACACACACACACACACACACACACACACGCACACATTATCAACAGTATTTGCAGTCTGCATAAAACATGATGATACAAAAGTGCAGATAATTGACGTCTGCATTTCTTTCACTGACAAGCTCGAAATATTTCCAAAAATCACCAAATAGCGCCGGCATTATGTATATCAAAAATTCATTTCATGAATGTAGCGCATTAAGGCGGGACTTTTATTCCTAATCAAACATTTTCTTTTGTTGTACGTTCGTTTGTTTTTCTCTACATATTTGTACATTATCTCCTCTTTTTATATATATATTTTTCATTTTTATCGTACCTGTTTTTTCTTTTTTTTTCATTTTTGTTACATTTCATTTTCCTGTTTGTTTCTTTTATTCACCTGCTCCGTTCCATATCTTTCATTCCTCTTAATTTTGTTTTATTCCCTTCATTTATTAATTCCCTCTTGTTTCCCTTCGCCAGGTCGACTGGGTGCTGCCTGACCAGCTCCGCACGAAGGTGTTGTGGTTTGTTCTCACGTACAACAGCACGGCGCAGAACAAGGTCACGAGGGACCTGGAGGCTTCCAGCACCTCGTACGTTCTCCATCAGCTGGGTGAGTCACCTGCTGTGAGGAGGAGGAGGGGGAGGGGGGGAGGGGGAGGGAAATGGGTATGGGCAGGGCAGAGGGGGTGTGTGGGGAGGGGCTGGGGGAAGGGGGTATGGTATACGTGGGGGGAAATGGGAGAAGAGGGGGCAGGATTAGGGATAAGGAGGGGGAGGGGGAGGGAGGTACGGGAAGGAAGTAGGGAAGGAGGAGAGAAGAGGGGGAGGGCTAGTAGGGTAGGGGAGTGGGAAAGGAGGAGGGAGTGTGTGTGTTGTATGTTTGCAGCGGGATGGGGAGGGAGGAGGGGAGGAGAATGCTCAGTGTGTGTGCTTTGTTTACCTTTTTGTCGTGTGTGTGTGTCTGCAACAACGACTGCAATAATAACGGCGATCAAAGCCTTAGATATATATCTCTGTTATTGCAACTTCAGTAACTGAGAGATCAATAGCCAATGATAAAAATTAACCTTAACCTTGAGAGCAACAGCAGCATTTTAATGAAAATAGAATGTCACAAGAAAGCTATAAGTTATGAAGAGAAGATTAAAGAAAAGATTGCCCTTTGACCCCCCTGACCCCATTCCCTCCCCATCCCAACGGCCCCAACCTCTCCAAACCCCACTCAATCTCCCCAACCAAACCCTTGCAATGAACTCCTACCTTTCCCCACCCTCTCACCCCCACTCACCCTTTCCCAACCCCCTCCCTTTCCTAACCCCTTTCGCACACACCCCTTCACCCCCTTCCCCGACCCCTTTCCCCCCTTCTCCCCCCTCCGCCCCCTCTAACCCCCCCCCCCCCCTGCAGAGCCCCGCACCAACTACACCGTCAAACTGGAGCCCATGTACAAGATCGGCCGCGCCGGCTCGGGCGTCAGCCGCACCATCCGGACGCTCCCCATCGACGCCCACCCGACGCCCGCCCACGGCCACCTGCGGAAGATGGGCGTCAAGAACCTCAAGGTCAAGACACTCAACTCCACCTGCATCCAGATGTCGTGGCGCCCCGCCGGCCGCAGGGTCACGCCCGACTTCTACACGGTCAAGATGGTCAACCTGGGCCTCCGGCGCGAGGAGGGGGCGGGGCCAGGAGACCTCTGGGTGGGCGAGCGCGGGCGGACAGACTTCTCGTGGATAAAGGCGAGCAGGTGGGGGGGGCGGGGGAGCAGGGGAGGAGGGAGGGGAGGGGCGGAAGGCGGGTGGGGGAGGGGCTGCTGAGCCTTTCTTTTTTCAAGGTATGTTTGTGTGTCTGTCTGCTTGTTTCTCTCTCTCTCTTTTTCTCTTTCTTTCTTTCTTTCTCTCTCTCTCTCTCTCTCTCTCTCTCTCTCTCTCTCTCTCTCTCTCTCTTCTCTCTCTCTCTCTCTCTCTCTCTCTCTCTCTCTCTCTCTCTCGTCTATCTGGTGTGTGTGTGTGTGTGTGTGTGTGTGTGTGTGTGTGTGTGTGTGTGTGTGTGTGTGCGTGCGTGTGTGTGTGTGTGTCCCTCTGTGTGTGTCATTAATTTATTTTGCATGAAGTTTCCTTATTTTCTCATTGATATTGTAAGTTTCATTCTAACAGGACTTTCCACCACTTCCTGTTCACCTTTCACAGCGAAACAGAGAATCAAGACATGGATCAGATGTCTTAAGATTTGAATAAAAAGCCCGACTTCCTTTTCCTCCAGGGATTCCCCTCGTCGGAAAACACGGTCAAGAAATCCCAGACGAGAGACGGGAAGAGGAGAGAAGAGACGAGAGACCGCAACAAAGAAAGAGAAGCAACTAAAGAAGAAGGAGAAGAAGGGGGAGAAAGAGGAGGAAGAGAAGGAGAAGGAGAACACGAAGAAGAAGCATTAGAAGGAGAATTCGAAGAAGGAGAACACAGGAGAAATCACGATAACGAACGAAGAGGAGGAGGAGCAGGAAGAGAAGAAATAGAAGGCAATGAGGAAGATTACCCCGTTCGATACATCCGGGTCACGAGAAGGTCAATCCTGCAGTGTGACCTACGACCTTGCAGCGGGTACGAGGTCACGGTCACGGCGTGGGCGGAGGGCGTGACCAGCAAGCCGACCCCGCCCATCAGAACCAGCACCAAGGAGGTAAAAAGAAGGAGGGAGAGAGAGAGAGAGAGAGAGAGAGAGAGAGAGAGAGAGAGAGAGAGAGAATGGGGATCACCGCTACGAGAGAAGGGGAAGAGGGAGGGAAAGAGAAAGATGGAAATATAGATAGATAGGCAGGTAAGTAGAGAGTTATGGAGAGACAGAGTGAAGAGATCAGAAAGACATATAAAAGATAGAGAGAGAGAGAGAGAGAAATAAATATATATAGAGAGAGAGAAGAGAGAGAGAGAGAGAGAGAGAGAGAGAGAGAGAGAGAGAGAGAGAGAGAGAGAGAGAGAGAGAGAGAGAGAGAATAAACAGACAGTAGAACGGATACTTCTAAAGACAGGCAAAAAGATATAGCTTTGAGATACACATTTTCATCAATCCCTCGTTTATGAAGAATAACTTTCCCCTAAAAGAAAAAAAGGGATAAAGTAAATGTAACTCAAATACAAAAACAAAATACAGCAATACAAGGTCTAAAGAGCTTCTTCCCCTCTCGTACGTCCCTTTCCTTCTCCCTCTCTCTCCCATTCTTCCCACTCCCTCCCGTCTCCTTCCCCCTCCTTTCCATTGTTTTCCCCTTCCCCCTCTTTCCCCTTCTTCCCCCTTTCCCTCTCCTTCCCCCCTTTCCCTTCCCCCTTTTTCCCCTCCTTTCCCCTCTTCTCCCCCTTCTTTCCCCCTCTTTCCCTCTTCCCCCTCCTTCCCTCTCTTCCCCTCTCTTCTCCCCTCCTTTCCTATCTTCCCCTCTCTTCTCCCCTCTTTTCCCCCTCTTTTCCCCTCCTTTCCCCTTTTTTCCCCTTCTTTTCCCTTCCCCTCCCTCCCCCTGCAGTCCCCAGCGCCCCCACCAACGTGTCGTGGACGCCGGTGAGCCCGAAGGACGTGGCGCTGCGCTGGAGCCCCCCGAAGGACATCAACGGCGTCCTCCTCAACTACCTGGTCAGCTACAGCCACGACCAGCAGGAGTGGAGGAACCACACGGTGTCGCACGAGGCCACGTCCACGGAGGTCAGGCTGGGTCACGGGCGGGGTTTGCTTTCACTTTCCTTCACTTTTTTTTTTATTATTCATTTATTTTTTGAAAAGGTGTCGGGGAGTCTTTTTAAGTGGGCTTTTTTTTAAGAAAAGGTCCGGGATTTTTTTCTTTGAGAAGGGGCCGGTATATATATATATATATATATATATATATATATATATTATATATAATATTATATATATATATATATATATATATATATATATATATATATATATATATATATATATATATATATACATACACATACATATGTATGTATGTATGTATGTATATATAATAAAGTAGAAGAGAAACATCATCTTGATGTTAATGCTCACTTATTTACTTATAATCACTTTACTTTGTGCTGTGCCTTGTTTACTTACATCTACTTTCACCACTTGTGTTTTTGTGTTCACTTCTGTCCACTTCATCCATGAATAGATTTATTCCACTCGCATATCATTCACATTCACTTGAGCTCTGTCCAAATGAGTTATATAAAATTATGCTTAAAACTACCCCCCCCCCCCTACTCAGCTGTTCCTATTGTTACCCACACCTCTTCCTCAGTCCCCCCCCCTATCCCCATGTCCTCCCCCCCAACCCACCTTCTCAGTCTCATCTGATATACACATTCTCCTCTCCTCATTTCCCTCATTTACTCCCTCACAGACTCCTTCCCTCACCTCCAACAACCCTTTCCCTCTCCCTTTTCTCCCTCACTGATCTGAGGTTTCAGCCATTTTCTCTCTTCTCCCTCACTCTCCTTCCCCGTTATCTCCACCATTCACGCTCTCCCCTCCCCCTCGCCTCGTCTCCTCCTTTATACTCCACCACTCCCCTCCTCCCTCATCTCCCTCCGCCCTCCCCCTCCAGCCCCTCATACTTTCCTATCTCACCCTCCTCCTCCTCCTCCTCCTCCCTCCCTGATACTCCACCACCCACTCCTCAATCCTCCTCCTCCTCCTCCTCCTCCTCCTCTTCTTCTCTTCTTCTTCTTCTTCTTCTTCTTCTTCTTCTTCTTCTTTCTTCTTCTTCCTTCTCTCCTCCTCCTCTCCTCCCCCTCCTCCTCCTCCTCCTCCTCCTCTCTCCCCCCCCCCCTTCCTCCTCCTCCTCCTCCTCCTCCTCCTCTCCTCCCCTCCTCCTCCTCCTCCTCCCTCCCTCCCCTCCCTCCTCCTCCCTCCCCCTCCTCCCCTCCCCCTTCCCTCCCCTCCCTCATACTCCACCACTCACCCTCCTCCCTCCCCCCCCTCCCTCACTCCACCACTCACCCTCCTCCCCTCCTCCCTCCCTCCCTCATACTCCACCACTCACCCTCCTCCCGCCTCCCCCACAGATCCGGGGCCTCATCTCCAACACCAACTACACTGAGCATCTCGGGGGTGACCCGGGGGGGCGTCGGGAGGCAGACCAGGGTGTACGTCTACATCCGGGCCATTCTCTTCACGGGCGAGGAGGCGCAGTCGTCCTTCCAGCGTGAGTTGTGAGGGGGGGGGGGTGTGAGTTGTGAGTTGTTGTGAGTTGTGAGGGATGGGAAGTTGTGAGTTGTGAGGAGGTTGTGAGTTGTGAGGGGTTGTGAGTTGTGGGGGGATGGGGGTTGTGAGGAGGGGCTGCTTGTGAGCTGTGAGGTGGGATGGAAAGTTGTGAGTTGTGAGGGGAGAGGGGAGGCTGTGAGAGAGATTGTGAGCTGTGAGAGGGGAAGTTGTGAGTTGCGATGAGGGAGGTTATGCGTGTGAGAGTGGGGGGGAGTCATGAGTTGTGAGAGATGAGGTTGTGAGTTGAGAATTATGAGAGTTGTGAGAATGGTCTCAGTGTGAATTGTGGGTTGTGGAGGGGATGGCTGTGTTGGTTGAGTGTGAGGATGTGTGGGGTTGTGGATGCTGTATGAAGTTGTGGAAATGAGTAGTACGGAGTTGTTAGTTGTAAGTTGTAAGCGGTGACGTAAGTTGTGAGTCGCGAATTGTGTGGATTTCTAAGTTATACTTCCGTGGTTGTGTGAGTTGCCTTTGGGTGTGGTTGTGAATTATGGTTCTTGTAAGTTGTACGAGTTGTAGGCACTATTTTGGTTTTCGTTGTGGCTGCGATATTACTGATGTCGATGGCAGATGGTGAGTTGTGTTATTTTGTTGTTATTGCTGTGGTTGTGATGGTAGTAATGCTCCATGTGATTGTGTTAATGATGATTATAACGATATTCACGTTGATGATGATAATGATTGACAATGATGACAATGACCATGCTAATAATAGTGATAAAGACGGTGCTAATACTAATGAGGATAATGATGCCAACAATGACAACAACGGCACCGAGAGCAATGAGATAAGAAAGCCAAAGCCTCACGAATGACAAGCCCCCAACAGCGCCGCCGCCCGCATGCTCACTCCCCCCCCTCCGCCCCCCCCCGCAGTGACGGTGATCGTGGTGGCCGTGCTGGTGGCGGTCACGTGCTCGGTCGTGCTGGTCGTGTGCGTGAGGACGGCGCGGCTGCGGAGGACGGGCGGCCATCCGACGCTGCAGGTGAGTGGCCTCTGCCGCAGCTGGAGCAGTGGGGGTGATGGCGGGACTGGAGGAGGGCCGAAGGGCAGCTGTAGTAGTGGTAGTGTTGTAGTTAGATAAGTGCAGGAGTAGTAGCGTTGTGGGTAAGTAGGAGTAGTGTCGTAGATTGGTAGTTGTAGTCGTAGTAAAAGTAGTAATAGTAATGTTAATATTAATTCTAGTAAAAGTTGTTGCTGCAGTAGTTGTAATGGTAGAAGCAGTAGTAAAGTAGTAGTAGAAGTTGTGGTAGTAGTAGTAACTGTGTTGTTGTTGTTGTTTTTCTCTGTAGCGAAGGCTTTGGTCAGCCTTTCCAGCTGAGGTCGTGTTTGCCTTCTCCTCTCTTATTCGCCTTCTCTTTCGCTCTCTTTCCTTCTGGTTCTTCCCTTGTTCCACTTTTGTGTTTTCGTGTTTTCTTCCTCCTTGGTTTGTTTTCATTTCTTCGTCTTCTCCCTTCGTCATTTTCCTCTATCTTGAAATGTCTTTCTCTCCCTCTTTTTCCATCTCCCCATTTTGTATAAATGTATTCCTTTCTTTCATTCCTTCATCATTCGTTTTCAACATCTTTATAAAATAGAGCAAATATCTGTGAAAAGAGAAGATTCAAAGATTAGATGAAAAGACGGTAAGCATTCATTAACCTCACACACACACACACACACCACACACATATATATATATATATATATGTGTGTGTGTGTGTGTGTGTGTGTGTGTGTGTGTGTGTGTGTGTGTGTGTGTGTGTGTGTCTGTGTGAACACTCGCCGACCCTAAAAAGTCTGCCACCTCCCGCCCTGCGATGGGGTGTTTCTGGACGACGGCGCAGCCAATCTACGGCGATCTATATAGATAGTATTGATCTATATCAATATCTATCTATATATATGTACATATATGCATATGTATACATACATATATAGAGAGAGATAAACAAATGAATAAATAAGTAATATATATATATATATATATATATATATAATATATATAATATATAATGTATTTATTTAAATTATATATATAAATAGTTGTATGTTGTTAGTATCTATGTGCATATGTGAACACACACACGCACGCGCGCACACACACCCACACACACACACACACACACACACACACACACACACACACACGCACACACACACACACACACACACACACACACACACACACACACACACACACACACACACACACACACACACACACACACACACACACACACACACACACACACACACACACACACATACACGCACACACACACCACACACACACACACACACACACACACACGCACACACACACACAACCACACACACACACACACACACACACACGCAC